AGAGAGAGAGAGAGAGAGAGAGAGAGAGAGAGAGAGAGAGAGAGAGAGAGAGAGAGGAAAAGAAAGCCACTACTGTCGGTGTACACGGTAGACAAAACCCCATTTTAAAAGAGAGATTATGAACTGCTGCGAAGCACACATGTTATCGATCTAAGACACAACGTTAGTGCATCCAACCCTCCTTACGACAAAAAACAGGCCACATCCTCATCGTGGGCCAACCCCCAACCCAACCTAGCAATTCCCGAACCAGCCAACAAGGCACTGCTACTCTGCCCGCCGAATCGGCGGAAGAAACAAAAAACTGGCCATCATCGCGAAGCTCCGCACGTCCTCCACATTGTACGTCCCTTCATAGTGCACGTCACCATCTCCCGAAGGCGGTCTACCACCTGTTACGCGCAGCCTTGAGGTCATGCAGGTAGCCTCTCTCCCGAAGTGGATGTTCCATGTGCACCACATAGCACGCGTTGCTGCTATTGGTCGACGCATGCTCTTCGGCGATGGCGGAGACAAGGTAGCGGGCGATGTCCCCGACGACATCGGGGCTCGGGCCCATCCACGTGTCCGGGACAACATTGGACAACTTCTTCACGAACAGGACAACCTCCGCAAGGCTGCCATCCCGGTCGTACCCCAGCTCGGCCAACATCCTCATCGCGAGGATACCATTGACAAGCGCGTAGTAAACGAGCGTGTCATCGTTGATAACACTGGGGCGCCAATCCATGTTCCGATGGCGCTCCGTTGCCCGTTCCAACCGTGTCTCCTGCACGGCAACCTCTTTCCCGTCAACCCGCTCCCTCACCACCACGGATACGTTCGACATCTCTCTCTCTCTCTCTCTCTCTCTCTCTCTCTCTCTCTCTCTCTCTCTCTCTCTCTTTATCTATCTATCTATCTATCTATCTATCTATCTATCTATCTATCTATCTATCTCTCCCGCGCTCGCGCGCATTGCCTTCGCATGCACAACTCTCCTCCCACCACTACGGGAAGCGGCATGCACTCAACCTCCTCGACTAAAGGAGCGCCCACCAGCATCAGTGCTGCCAAAGAAAGCCACGACTGCCCACATATATACACAAAGGTTGGGTACCGTTTTCCGTCCCGGCGTCCACGCCGACTGTCCCGTCCTTTGTTCCGATACCGTGAACCGGTGTCCCACAATATATATATATATATATATATATATATATATATATATATATATATTGCGGGACACACCGGTTCATGGTGTCGGAACAAAGGACGGGACACCCGACATGGATGTCGATGTAGAGTTTTCCATCTGGTGTAGGTGAGTGATAGTCTACTTTGATTTTGGTTAAGGTAGATTATCATTTACAGTGTAATTAGTGAGGGGATGCTGCAGACTGTTGAGGGTTCAGCCTCCTGATGAGTCGGTGAAACTCTGACGAAACAGTTTGTCACAGCTCCTCGTTTGTTGTCCTCTTCTCTCTCTCTGCCTACGGTTTACCGGGCAGTTCTGTTTGTGACGATATATACCCCTCTTCTTAATCCACAAACCACTTCGTCCACACAGACTCCGTCATCATGTTCTGCCCCTGCAGAAAGCCTACTTCGTCGTCCTAGAGGTCGACTTCGACCTACTTCCCAACCTCTGCTTACTCCCCTTTCCTCCATCTTTGTTCTTGGACGAAGAAGAACTCATTCATTCTCCCTACCACGGCCCTCCCCAACATCCGGTCCCCGTCTTTTGCCGCCCCAAGCATCCTTACCACGCTTGCAACGCTCTTCGACTGCAGACCTTTCTGCAACGCGGCAAACACAAAACAAGAGGGATGATGGCGACGGACCATCCGAGGATGAACTTGGCAAGGGGACTGTAGGAGATTCTGTAGAAAATCCGCTTGACCGGCCTCCACCGAATCTGTGTGGCCTTGCTGCTACTAAGATATGCCCACAAGCCTATCGTCGGGAACCATATACTCACTCTGATTTCTTGGCCATTGCTTTCGATCTTGATGCTCAGGAACGTGAGTTATATGGCAATAACCCGACTCTGTATCCCCCATTGGATAGTAATTACACTCGACATGGGGGATTCAATGTGTCGGTTTTGGAGACTGCTTTGATAAGGCGCCGACTTGATACGCAGCGTGCCCCTTCGGGTGGTGACCCAGACCACTATTCGCACGTTTGTGCCTATATTCTACACCGCTCTTGTCCGTGCCTCTGGTTCCTGGGAATTATGGAATAGCGGTGCTATGGTGCAAACTATTACTGCCATCTGTGATCTTGTGCGTAATTACCCTAACCTGCAACTGTTCCAGGTCATTGACCCTATGGGTACCTCGTGTACTTCCATGCCCGCCTCTACGCTTCTTTGTGCCTGCCTCCAGACCTGTCTCTGTGCCTGTTTCTGTGTCCGTCTCCTTCCAAATTACTGACTCTATGGGTACCACTTGTACTTCCATTCCCGCCTCTGCACCTGTCTCCGTGCCTGCCTCCATAATTGTCTCCATGCTCGTTTCTGTGTTTGTCTCCGTGCCTACCTCCATGTCTGTCACCGTGCCTACTT